GCCTCTCCCACCAATCTCCTCAACTCGTTGAAGTTGGCCCTCTTGAAGTCTAGGGCTACCGCCTTGCTGCAGGCCCTTGACACCCTGTGCTGGATGGTGAATTCCAGCAAGCGATGATCGCTGTCACCCAGGTGGTCAAGGACCTGAAGCCCCCTTACCAGATCATTGCCTGTGGCCAGGACCAGGTCCAACAGGGCATTTCCTCTGGTGGGACTGTGCACCTCATGGGTTAAGTGGAGGTCCTGTATCTTGGCCAGGAACCTCCTGGAACGGTCCGACCTGGATGACTGCTCCTCCCAGCAGATGTCCGGGTAATTTAGATCACCCATGACAACTACATCCCTTGCCTTAAGTGCCTCTGCAAGCTGGCCTGAAAATTCCCAGTCCAGCTCCTCCCTTTGGTTGCGGGGTCTGTAGTAGACCCCCACCGTTAAATCCCTCTCCTCGCGACCCCCTTGTATCTTGACCCAGAGCACTTCATCAACATAATAATGATTTACCTGTACAAATGGGGCTGGCCTCCCCGCGGAGCACCGCCTGTCAGCGGAAGGCTGAGGCTAGCCTCCCAGAGTGCAGCCCAGCCCAGTCCACCCCACACAGATCTGGGGGCACACGCAGCATGTGACGTGCCCGCTCTCATGCCCTTCCGGACTGGCAGCAAAAGCTGCCAGAGGAGCCACCAGAAGAGGAGCTCCTGGACCAGTTGTCACTGCCCGTAGTCCTGTGTGCAGGGGGACCCTGAGACCCACCCAGAACTGGCAGTATTGGGGACCCCGATACACCCCCCCTGCCAGGTTTGGGGGAAACCCAAAACCCTCGCAGAGCCAGGTGCTGGGGGACCCTGAGACCCTCACCAGAGCCAGGTGCCTTGGGATCCCAAGACCCAACCAGGGCTGGCAGCATTGGGGACCCAGAGATCCCCACAGTCCCAAGTACAGAGGAGACCCCAAGAACCCAAGAATTCTTTTTGAAAGAATTATCCTGGCACATGTCCAGGAAGGGCCAGCAGGGAGGTTATGCTCAGGGGCAACCAGCACGGGTTCATTAGAGGCAGGTCTTGCCAAACCAACCTGGTGCCTTCTATGACCAGGTCACCAAGTCCTTGGATGCAGGTGTTGCAGTGGATAGTCTTTCTGGACTTCAGGAAGGCCTTCAACATGGTCTCTCACCCCATTCTCAGTAAGAAACTAGGAGACAGTGGTGTTGATACCTACACAGTCAGATGGGTCACTAACTGGCTGGAGGGCCGCACCCAGAGGGTGGTGGTGGACGGGTCTTATTCGACCTGGAGGGATGTGGGCAGTGGGGTCCCCCAGGGCTTGGTCCTCGGGCCTGCACTGTTCAACATCTTCATCAGAGACTTGGGCGAGGGGGTAGAAAGCACCCTGTTCAAATCTGCAGATGACACTAAGATGTGGGGGGGAAGTGGGCATGCTAGAAAGGAGGAATAGGCTGCAAGCGGATCTAGACAGGTTACAGGGGTGGGCGGATGAGAACAGGATGGGTTTCAACACTGATAAGTGCAGGGTAACGTACCTGGGGAGGAGGAACCAGTGGCACACCTACAGGCTGGGGAACTCCCTTCTCACCAGTGTCAAGACAGAAAAGGATCTTGGAGTCATTATTGATGCCAAGATGAACATGGGCCGACAAAGTGGGGACATGGTCAGGAAGGCCAACCATACCTTGTGCATCCACAGATGCATCTCAAGCAGGTCCAAGGAGGTGGTCAGGCCGCAGCTGGAGTACTGTGTCCAGTTCTGGGGGCTGCACTTCAGGAGGGATGTGGACCACATGGAGAGGGCCCAGAGGAGGCCACTCGCATGATCAGGGGGCAGCAGGGCAGGCCCTACGAGGAGAGGCGACGGGACCTGAACCTGTTCAGCCTCCACAAGAGAAGGCTGAGGGGGATCTAGTGGCCTGTTACAAACTAGTCAAGGGGCATTGACTAGTCCCTGCAAGCATTGGGAGAGTCCCTGTTCCCCTGAGCACTCCCGGGAGTTACAAGAAACAGCGGACACCAGCTAGCGGAGGGTAGTTTCAGGCTAGACATTAGGAGGCGCTACTTCACTGTCAGGGCGGCTAGGACCTGGAACCAACTTCCAAAAGCAGTGGTGCTGGCTCCTACCCTGGGGGTCTTTAAGAGGAGGCTGGACGAACATCTGGCCGGGGTCGTTTGCCCCCAGTACTCTTTCCTGCCACGGCAGGGGGGCGGACTAGATGATCTCCTCGGGTCCCTTCCGACCCGACCAACTATGAAACTACGAAACACTATGAAACTATGAACCCCCCCAGTCCCGTGTGTTGAGGGTCCCTGAAACCCCACCAGAGCCAGCAGCACTAGGGACCCTGAAACTCCCTACAGAACCGGGTGCTGGGGGACACCGAAACCCCCCAAAGCCAGCAGCACTGGGGACCCCAAGACTGTCCCAGAGCTGAGTGCGGGGGGACCCAGGTGCCAAGAACCCCCCAGTCCCGTGTGCCAAGGGACCCTGAAACTCCAGCAGAGCCAGCAGCACTGGGGGCCCTGAAACTCCCCCCAGACCCAGGTGCCAGGGGGCCCCAAGGCCCAAGAGTCTTGGGACCCCGAGACTCCACCAGAGCTGGCAGCATCAGGCACCCAAGACCGCTGGGAGCTGGTGCAGGGGAACCCCGAGACCCCATTGGAGCCAGCAGCATCAAGGACCCCTGAGACCCCCCTAAACCCTAAACCCAGGTGCCGGGGGACACTGAGACCCTTCTAGACCCGGGTGCCAGGGGACCTGAGCCCGCCCCAGAGCCAGGTGCCAAGGGACCCCGAGAGCCAGCAGCACTGGGGGCCCCTCACTCCCGACCCCAAACCTGTGCCTGGGCCCCTCGGAACCCGGGTCGTGGCCCTGGACATGGGGCAGGGGGTGGCCGGGTCTCTAGGCCGGGGAAGGGCATGGCGGGAAACAGGCTCTTTGGGAAACTGAGGCCCGCGGCGGAGCACACGCAGAGAAGCCGGAGAGGGGAGTGGGGGCCCAGGGGAAACTGAGGCAGAGGGCTGGAGGGCATCCGGCAGGCGTGGCGGGGATCTGGGCACGGCGGAAACTGAGGCACGGGGAGACCGAGGCGCAGGAGCTGCAGGGTCCTGGGGGAAGCGCGGGCTCAGGGCGTGGAGGCCACTGGAGACCCTGAGGCCCGGGGGAAACGGGCGGGGGCAGCAAGGCCGGGGGGGCACCCCCCAAACCAGCAGCTGCCACGAAAGGGTTAACGCGCGGGAGTGACGCGCCGCTGCCGTGCGGAACGTCAGCGTGTGACGTGGTGGGAGGGGCCACGAAAGCGACAGCTGCACGGCCGGCGTTTGCAGCTCCCCGGAGCCCGCGCGGCGGAGGCCCCAGGTCGGGAGTGAGGGGCACTGCGTGTGCAGAGTGAAGGGCGCTTGGGGGCAGGGGCTGCGGGTCCAGAGTGAGGGGCACTGGCGAAGCTGGGGGGGCAGGGGCTGCGAGTGGCGAGTGAGGAGATGCTGGGCAGGAGACTCCACTGGTGTCTGGGGCTTTTGGAGACGCTGAAGATGCTTCCCAGGCGAGCACCACCTGGCTGTGGTGCGGCTGTGGGTTGGTGCTGGGGGCCCGGGGGCATGTGCAGGGAACTGTGGTGGGGCTCCGGGGGGTAGCTGTGTCCCATGCGGGTGCTGTGGGGGCACTGGAGGCCCTTAAAGTACAGGGGATCTGGGCCACGCTGAATGCTGCAGGGCCTGGTGGAGGGCAGGGACAGGCGAGAGACTTGTGGGGGGCGGAGCTGTGGTTGGGGGTTTCTGGAGGAAGCCTGGTCCCGCCAGCCTGTGTGGGGCAGGAGGGGAGCGAGGACAATCCTGAGGCTGCGGCAGGGTCATGGTCCCGGGTCTCCCATCACATGGGGATATCTGTGCTGTCTCCTGTCCCACAGGGCCCTGCAGACCAGATGCTGTGGACAGGCGCTGTGCCTGAGCGCAGGGGAGCAGGAGCCCAGGTGCAGGCAGGGGGAGGCGTCTCCTGGAGGAGACTGTGGCTGTGCTGGAGCCGGTGGCAGCTGTGGCCCTTCCCTTCGCAGCCTTGCTGCAGCCTGAGGTGATGCTGGAGGAGCAGGACCCAGAGGGGCTCCAGGCAGGAGCTGAGGGACAGGATAAGTCCCCCCTATGATCCAGCCTGGGATGTGGTGGGGGGCATCCCCAAGGTGGTCAGCACCACAGGCAATAAGGCAGCAGCTGCAGGAGGAGCTGGTCCAGCAGCAGGAGATCTGGGGGCAGGAGGTGATGCAGGCCATGCAGCCCCTTCTGAGGGCGAGATTTCTTCAGAGACCCCCACAGGTGCACCGGGGACAACCACCCCACCCCAGAGACCTGATGCCAGCGCTTCTGGGGCCTTCGCTACCTGGAAGTCAAGGGGCTGTGGGAGGTTTGTAGTCACCTGTGGGAGCTCTGTCTGCTCTGGCTGGAGCCCTAGCACTGCAGCAAGGAGCAGGTCCTGGAGCTGGTGATGCTGAAGCAGTTTGTGGCCATCCTGCTAGATGTGGGTGCACAGCGTGGGGCTGTAACATGACCAAGGGGTTCCAGCTGTGATAGGTGGAGGATGAGAAGCTTCAGCTGAGAGCGTTTAACCCTGATCATTCATACTGCCATCCCCATCTTCACCTGCTTTCCATTCCCACAGCTTTCCAGTGACATATTTATCTCATCCCCAGGTCACAGTGAGTGTGAAGGTTGAGGAGGTGCCCTCAGACAAGATGCAGCCCACTGGGGCACTGCAGGACCCTGGTGACTGCTGGCTGGAGCAGCCAAAGGCCCATTACACCAACAGGTCTCTGGGGGAGGCAGGACAGAGGGCACCTGGGGACAAGCCACCTCATGTCCCCGAAGAGCCCCCGCCCCACCAGGAGTCAGGTGAGGTACTGGATGTAGGCCTGTGCATGGGTCTGGGTGCCTGAGAGGCTGTTCTGCACGGGGGTGGGGAGAGGCTCGAATGTCTGCCCCTGTCCGGGACAGATGTAGCCTCACCAGTACAGAATAGAGGGGAAGAATCACTGCCACAAGCTAGCAGAGAGCAGATTTAGACTGGACATTAGGAAGAACTTCTTCACAGTTCGAGTGGCCAAGGTCTGGAACGGGCTCCCAAGGGAGGTGGTGCTCTCCCCTACCCTGGGGGTCTTCACGAGGAGGTTGGATATGCATCTAGCTGGGCTCATCTAGACCCAGCCTTCTTTCCTGCCTATGCAGGGGGTCGGACTCGATGATCTATTGAGGTCCCTTCCGGCCCTAACATCTATGAATCTATGCCCTTGATCTGCTGGCAACGCTCCTACTAATGCAGCCCAGGATGCTGTTAGCTTTCTTGGCAACCACGCTGCTGGGTCCTATTCAGCTTCTTGTCCTCTGTCACCTTCAGGTCCTTTTCTGCAGAGCTGCTGCCCAGCCAGTCAGCCCCCAGCCTGTACCTGGTGCATGGGATTGTTCCCTCCTAAGTGCAGGACTTTGCTGTTGTCCTTGCTGAACCTCATGAGAGTTCTTTGGCCCAATTCTGCAATTTTTTTGGGTCACTCTGAATCCTAGCCCTACCCTCCAGCATTTCTACTGCTCCCCCCAGCTTGGTGTCCTCTGCAAACTTGCTGAGGGTGCACTCTGCCATCTTCCAGGTTGTTGCTGAAGACTTTGAACAAAACCGACCCCTGGCGCATTCCACTTGATGCCGGCTGCCAACTAGATGTTGCGCCATTGATTAGTACCCTCTGAGCCCAATGCTCCAGCCAGTTTTCTGTCCACCTTACAGTCCATTCATCCAGCCCCTACTTCCTTAGCTTGCCTGCGAAAATACTGTGGGAGACCATATCAAAAGCCTTGCTAAAATCAAGGTACTACCACATCCCCTGGCCTCCCTGCATCCACAGAGCCAGTCACCTCATCGTAGAAAGCAATAAGGTTGAGCTTTAACATATCTTAAATTAAAACTATCTTTTAAATAGGTTTATTTTTTAAATAAGCATCTTAAATAAAATACTATTAAATAAAAAATAATCTGATTCTTTTTTTTTTTTTAATCCACCCTGCTTGCTGTTCTAAGGATCAGTGCTCTACTTACCCCTTTCTCATGCCCCCGTAAGCCCTCTGTGCCCAATAAGGGGCTGGTGCAGGTACCTGGGAAATGAGACTTCCCCAGTGGCCTCTGGCTGGTTCAGGTACAGCTAACCCAGACCTCTGTCCTGCTACAGATTCCCCTGAAACTGAAGAGACCTGGGAGTTGTTGGCAGAAAGAAGCTTGTCAGGCTGGTGCCCCAAACAAGAACCTTCCCAAGGAGCAGGTAAGGAGTGGTGGCTCTACCCTTTCCAGCAGCAGGAGGCACCATCCATCTGTCTGCCAAAACATTTTGATGGAGTTGGTGCCCCAACAGACTAGCTGTTCTTGTTTTGCCTAGAGAAGATTGATCTTGCATTTCCTCTCCCCCTGCCCTTAACATGTGGATCTGATACAGTCCCTACATCCCATGAGCTTCTTTCCCAGGTAGTGATGTTACTGCAGGCTCTGTTGTGGTGCTGTGATCACCACCCTGCTCTGGGATAGAGTTATTGGGGCTCATCTCCAGCTTTGTGCTTGTGCAGGTCTGTTAGCCAGACCTGTGGGACTTTGATTCTTCTGCCTCCCTGCTCTTCCACACTCTGAAGCCTCTGGCTGCCTCAGTCCCAGGCCCATACAGGAGACCAGCAGGCCTTTTGCCATGCTAGCAGCATCAGGGCTAACCTGGGCACTTTCTTCCCTACTCTGAAGGTGCTGGGACTCTAAGCAGAGCTGAGCAGCAGCTTCCTGAGGAGAGCCCTGTTAACCCGGAGCTGCAGAGGACTTCCCCAAGGACACTGGAGGAGAGGAGCTCCATGGCACCTGAGCCAGGCCAAGTGCAGAGATGGCAGAGCAAACCTCCAAAACAGGGGGAGAGCTTGGAGGTGAGCTGGGCACTAGGTCCAGTTGGGTGTGGGAATAAAGCTGGGGCAGAACTCAGGAGGAGCCAGGGATGGTGTAAACAATATGGGTGAAGAGAGACCTGAAGGCATCAAGTCTGTGGTGATGGAGGCTGCAGACACACTGAGCTGGCATTAGCAGGGGCTGCCTCCTAAGTGCAGATAGCCAGGGGGGTGCTGGCATGGGCCTTGTGAGTGCATAGAGCCAGGGCTCCCTTCCCTTAAAAGTGCTGCCCAGGCTGCCTCAAAGGACTGAGCAAATAAAATGTGATGAGCTGGAGTAAACCCAACACATGAACTCCTATGTCCACAGCTGCATCCACATCACATCTCCTGCCCCCTGAAGACTGGGGAGAATATTGCACCTTTACCTGTCCTAACAAAGCCTGCAATTAGTTGTAATACAGAGTGATTCCAGACAGGGCTGTGGGAGCTGGAAGCAGCTGGAACAGGAGACACTGATAGTGTAACACTTGTGACTGCAGCTCCGGGAGGTGTTTGAAGATGTGGCAGTGTATTTCACACAGATGGAGTGGGAGCTGCTGGAAGATGAAGACAAGGTGCTTTACCAGGACCAGATGCTGAGGAATTTCCAAGCCCTTGTTTCCCTGGGTAAAGCTCTGGTTCTTGCTTCCCCCTGGAGCTATGTGAACTTTGAAGTGTATTGTCTTCCTGTTTTGAGCAGTCTCATCCTCATGCACCTTTGGCTGGTGGTTTAACGGTGCTTCCTCCCCATTGCTTTATCAGTGATCAGACCTCTCTCACGTATATTGACAGATCCTCCTTCATTTGATCCAGCCACCTTCACTTGTGTCTTCCCCATTCTTGTAGCTGCTGGTGCTTCCATATCCAGCAGTTTCTTGACAACATCATCTCCCTTTGCCTTGTCAACATGTTCATATCATCTTCAATTTGTTGTGCATCAATTCACTAACAGCTCTTCCTTGGGGAATATTTCTAATTTTCCCCTTCACTAGTGTGTCCTGTCCAAACACATTTAACAGTCCTAGAGTGCTCAGTTTAGTAATATCTAAATGCTTTTACTCCTCCTTTTGTTATGACCCAGCACAGGTTAATGGAAGTTTTATTAGCCTCTGCTGCTACAACATGTGGATGATGTATTTCCACAACTCTTCCTCTAGTGACAGGTGCACACATGATGCTACCCCAGGTACCTCTACTTCCAGGGGTCACTGGAAGCTTCTGTTAACATTGCTTCCTGACATCTTCATCTCTATAGACCAGCGACTCTGGCTTGGCTGTATTTAGATTAAGGCCTGTGCTCTCAAGCTCACTCTGCCATTCTCCAAAGTTTTCTTGTTCTCCTCCTAAAATCCCTCTGCAGATCAAACACCCAACACTGATAAGAAGTGCGCTAGGTACAGGGCCTAGTGAAAACCATTTTTCATTTCCAGAGGATCTCTGTTGCAGGGACTTGTTCTGGCTTGTGTGCAGGGTTGAGGTACTTACCTTTTACTAAGCTAGCTTGCTTTTCTAATACTTTCTTTCCCCTCTGCTTCCCCCAGAGGATTTCCTTAAGGAAGTTCTCAAATGTTTTCTGTAGCTCAACAGAAACCACATAGACCACGTCTACATGCTGGCCTTTCACATGCTATGAAGTGTGTGCTTTTTGCCTTCTTTTTGTCATTTCCATGACTCCGAGGAACTTAGCAGTATTTACCAACCTGTGGACTCATCTCCATTCCTGGGATGATGCTCCCATTGGATGGGATGCTGGATTCAGCTGCAGCTACAGTTTTTATAATATCATCTTGTCCTCTGCCCTGGTGATGCTGATTTATCCTCTCTCCCAGAAAGCAGTTTCACTGTCAGCCACCTGTCATGGATGCTTTTCACTGCCATGGGTCCTCACTTTAAACCTTCACTGAGAATAAGCTCACTTCCATTCCTTTAACTGGAGTGCCACTGATGAGATAAATGTTATCCATCCGTAAGTGAAAGCTTTATCTTTCTGCTCTCTAGTGCATCACGGATCACTGCATCTCCATGCCTATCCTTGGTGACTCAGTTTGATACCATTTCTATGCCAGGGAGTGGCTGGTGCTTTGTTTCTTATGACCATTTCTCCACTACCTGCATGACAAGGACCATTATCTCTTCAAGTCTTCTCCTTGCAGTGCCTTCTCTTTCACCCTAAATGTTTCCTCCTCAATGAAGCCTTGAGTTCATTGGATCCATTCCCCAAATCCTGGTTGGTTATTCTGTATCCAGTACCCAGTCACAAACGCTCTTTAACCGCTGTCCCAAACAGGACATCAGGGTCCCACACCTGACTTAATCCACCGCATCCAGCGAGGACAGGTGGAGCTCTGGGTCTGCGATGATGAGGACAGTGGGGAAATCTCAAGGTCAGAGGACCTGCTGCCAGGTGAGTTGTAACTGTCCCCTCTACCCAACTCTCCTCTCAGAAATGCTCCATGTCCAGAGTGCTAGGGCAACCTGGAAACTACTGACATACTCTGTGCTGCCATTCCAGGGTGCTGACCTCAAACACAGTACATTATACTGTAATGTGTCCACACAGGTGTTGTTCCCCCTCCCTGAAATGCAGTGATATGGAGATGAGCGATTTTCCCCTTCTTTCCCCCCCTAATTACAGTTTTTAGGGGACAGTTGAGTTTGCTGTTTTGATTTTTCAGCCCAGATCTGGTTTCCCTGGGATACCATGATCTAAATTTGCATCTTCACTCAGTAATGTAAGAGTTCATTCCCCAGCCCAAGGTAGCCATACCTCTCTAACACCCACTCCAAGGACATGATGGGATTTGAAGTCCCCCATGGAAATAAAGATGACATACAGAAACTCTGTTTAACCATTCCTGTTGGACAAAAGAGAAGCTGGGGCTCTCCCTGGCTTCTTCTGGTCAGACTGACCTGTAACCCAGGAACTGTTTCATCATGGTCTCAGGTTGCATTAAATGGCTCTATCATGTGGGTGGGATTCAGAAGCTTTCATGCTGTGACAGGAAGGTAATGCCCCATGTTTTGCACCAGAATTGCCCCCTTCCTGTTTTCTGTCTAGGGCCCTGAGTGTTACAAAGACAAAGACTGAGCACAGAGTCCAGGGTCATGCCAAGGCCTTACACCCGGTTCAGACTCCTGTGATATACAGGCCAGCTGGGACTTGTCAGCAGAGCAAAGCTCCATGGGCTCATTCCCTGCACCAGACCTGACCTTGGAGGAAGGCAGGAAGCACTCCCCTGTTCCTTTCAAAAGAGAGCCACAGCCCCATACACAGGTCCAGGGGACACATGCTCCCCATGCCTCCTCCAGGGTGTGCGCAGCCCCTTGCCAACAGGGCAGGGACTAATCTGGAGTTTCTCTTCCCCACGTAGGAGGTACCTGGCTCCTGAACGGAGCTGAGGAGGAGACTCCTGTGGAAGGGCCTGCAAACCTGGGGCCACCATGGACTTCCCCAAGGAGTTTGGGTGAGATGGACTCCTTGAGACATGAGAAGGAACAATGGCCCAGGAGTCAGGTGAGACCCCACAAGCAGATGAAGAATGTAGCAGTGAACCAGGTACCATCTCCAATTGGGCATGAGAGTGGAAAAGGGGCAGAACCCAGTAAGAGCCCTGAGTGCAGGAAGAGTGTGTGTAGATGAGAGACCGAAAGACCCACTTGAAAGAGGCACTCCATCCAAGCCAAGGCAGTGGGGAGGGTGTCAGGGAAGCAGAAGCTCACTGCCAAGCACAGGGGCAGAGCCCACCCCTGCTTCAAGGTCAGGAAAACCTTTAACTGCCCATCTCTCCTGGCTCTTCACAAGATAGGGCACACTTGGGAGAAGGTCCAAGTGTGCACCAAGTGGGGGAAGAGCTTCACTTGCCTCTCGACCCTGGTTGCTTACCCCCAGATCCATTCTGAAGAGCTCCCCCACTGCTTCACCAAATGTGGGAAGAGCTTTGTGTGCCCCTCACACCTGGACAAGCACCTACATGGGCACATGAGGGAAATGTCAGTACCACTGTGTAATATGCGGTAAGACCTTCACCCATTTCTTCTCCCTGTTTTAGCACCAGCACGTCCACCTGGGGAGGAAGACACACCACTGCACTGAGTGCAGGAAGAATTTCATCTGCTGGCAAGACCTGTCCCAGCACCAGTGCATACAGAGTGGGGAGCAACCACACCATGGTACCAAGTGTGGGAAGAGCTTCAGACAGCCCTCCAACCTGGCTCAGCACCAGCATATCCATACAGGGGAGAAGCCACATCAGAGCTCAGTGTGTGGGAAGAGTTTTGACTTGTCTTCCAACCTGACCAAACACCGGCTCATCCACAAACACAAGAATCCACATTGGTGCTTCGAGTGTGAGAAGAGCCTTACCTGCGCCTCTCACCTGGCCCGGCACCAGCTTATCCACACAGGGGAGAAGCCATATCAGTGCTCAGTGTGTAGGAAGAGCTTCACCCGCTCCTCCCACCTTGTCCAGCATCAGCTCATCCACACAGGAGAGAAGCCACATCGGTGCCCAGAGTGTGGTAAGAGCTTCACTCAATCCTTCAGCCTGGTGGAGCACCAGCGTATCCACACGGGAGAGAAGCCACATCAGTGCTTGGAGTGTGGGAAGACCTTCAACCATTCCACAACCCTGAGAAGACACCAGCTCATCCACACAGGAAAGAAGCCGCATCACTGCCCAGAGTGTGGGAAGAGTTTCACCCTACGTTCAGACCTGGCCCAGCACCAGCTTATCCACACAGGGGAGAAACCACATCAGTGCTCGGACTGTGGAAAGAGCTTCACCCGATCCTCCCACCTTTTCCAGCACCAGCTCATCCACAGAGAAGAGAAGCCACATCAGTGCCTGGAGTGTGGTAAGAGCTTCACTCATTCCTTCAGCCTGACTAAGCACCAGCGTATCCACACGGGAGAGAAGCCACATCAGTGCTTGGAGTGTGGGAAGACCTTCAACCATTCCACAACCCTGAGAAGACACCAGCTCATCCACACAGGAAAGAAGCCGCATCACTGCCCAGAGTGTGGGAAGAGTTTCACCCTACGTTCAGACCTGGCCCAGCACCAGCTTATCCACACAGGGGAGAAACCACATCAGTGCTCGGACTGTGGAAAGAGCTTCACCCGATCCTCCCACCTTTTCCAGCACCAGCTCATCCACAGAGAAGAGAAGCCACATCAGTGCCTGGAGTGTGGTAAGAGCTTCACTCGCTCCTCCAACCTGGCTCAGCACCAGCATATCCATACAGGAGAGAAACCACATCAGTGCTTGGAGTGTGGGAAGAGCTTCACTCGCTCCTCCAGCCTGGCTCAGCACCAGCGTATTCACACAGCGGAAAAACCACACCAGCAAGGATCTGGGTTTTCTGTTTCCCACGGAAAAATGGAGAAAACCACGGGTTTCCCATTTTTAGCAGAGAAAACACAGATTTTTCCCTTCTAGCAAAGAAACCTGTGCATTTCCCCTTTTTGCAAAGAGCTCTTGCAGACTGGCTGAGTTCCAGCCTGCAAGAGCTGATTGCAAAAAGGACAGGAAAGCCCCAACCCTGTCCAGAGGGGGAGGGAGAAGGGGAAGGGCGGGACCTGAAGCTTTTAGTCAGTCCCAAGGTTTGGGTCAGGCTCACTTTCCTTCTGGAGCCTGTGAAGTGGTAGGTGGGGCTTGCTGGGGGGTTCTGGGGTAAGACTGGGGAGGAAGGTGGCTGGGGGCTGAGGGAGTGGGGTGGTTTACAGTCTGCTGGGAGCGGGGAGCTGCGCCCCCCCCCCGGCCAGCTGCAAACCTCCTCCCTCCCTCCCAGCTGGCCAGAGTGCCCGAAGCTGGCGGGGGGTTGGGGGCTGATGGAGTGGTGGTGGCTTGCAGCGGGGGGGGGTTGCAGTCTCCCCACTTCTGGCCGGAGTGCCTGGCCAGCTGTAAACCTCTCCAATCCCTCAGCCCCCAGCGAGCTTCGGGCACTCTGGCTGGGAGTGGGGAGGCTGCAAACCCCCCCTGCTCCTGGCTGGCTGCAAACCTTCTGGCCAGAGTGTCCATCCGGCTGCCACATGGAACACGAGCTATACAAGTGTCCGGACTGGACTCAGCACCTCCAGGTGCAGCTTCCTTCAAGGGCCAATTAGCATAGCTCACGGTCCACATGCAGCCAGCCTGGCGGGCACTCCACATCTTCCCCCAACACTTCCCCACTTCCTTAGCCCCCAGCCAGCTCCCCATGGGAGTATGTTGTGTCCACACACACACCCCCACAAACACGTGGATATGCACATAAACATAATAAGCCCACATGCACGTACACATGTACACACATAGAAGTACACATGGGTATGCAGACCCGTACGTCTGCATAGATGCATGCACGTGCACACATGAAAGAGGGGTACCTGCAGGGCTGGGGGGCTGTATTGGGGGGGCCGTATTGGTGCCAGACTGGCAAGACGGTTGTGTGGCGGCACCATGTACACAGTAGTGTATACCAGAAGTAGTTGGGAGTGGGGGTTGTGGGCTTATCCATAGTACTGATGGAGTAGGTAGGGTAGGACCACGAGTGGGTGCCCATGCCTGGTGATGAGGAAAATGGCACAGTGGGCAGTGGAAAGGCATCTCACAGCTTTCTGGGTTCCTGCTGTGCCCTGCACATAATATATACTACATTATGTAAGGTGTTTCCCCTAATACCTTTGTAAAGGGCTAACGGCTGGTCATCATTGCTTGATAAGTGCCCTCAGCTACAAGCCAGTAGCTTTGGTCTTGCAGGCCCCAAGCTGGGTGTCACCAGTTTTGGGATTTATATTGTGGCTGTCTCCGTGTATCACCCCACCCAGCATCACAAAAGATTTTCACAAAGCATCTTCCCTCCTTTTGTGGTCTTCAATAAAGGTAGTTCAGCTTTTTCAAGGCTGTCTTGAAAAGACAGTTAAAAAGGAAAATATTATACAGGGCTGGACACAGTGTATTATTGAAGATTTACTCATGTATATGGTGTAATGCCCCTTGGGGTTAACCAGCCAGCCTTGTCAAGCATGCTGCGCTGGGCTTCTGTTGCCCTGTCATGGTGCAGCCTTCATGCTGCCTATACACAGGCATTTCTGGTGTTAGAGCATGGGAATTGGATTGCTGCTCTGATTTTGGTATTCTTTGAAGTCTGGAACTCAGGTGGATTTAAAATGGAATTTAAGCCTTTACTTATACGGAAAAAAAACAGTACAGGACATTTTCCAAAGTCCTTTGTGGAACTTTATTTCTATCAGAGTTTTCCAAAAAATTCCTAAAGCAGGTAGCGAGAAAAGACAGATACAAAGTGAACCTAACCTGGTTCACCCACCCCCCTCCCCCCATCCCCATCTTTAATGTTAGAGAGAGACAGAGATGTACAATCTGCTTTGAGAAAATTGGGGTGGCAGCACATGAGGGAGAAACACACCACCACAAGTGGTAATAGAGCATGCTTTAGTCATGAGAACTGGCTGCCCCATGAGATGTCCCCCTTTGACCCTCCTCGAGGCTACCCAGTATCCTCCTGCCCTTCATCCCTGAACCGTTTTGGGGCTCTCCTCTTGCAGCTAGAGGAGGCGTGGCTCTCTGGAAAAGAACGGAGAGTTGTATGGGGTAGCCCATTGTCAATCCTGCTCTCAGTACTTTTGCAGTCATGAAACTCTGTTAGTACTCCTGTCTAAACCTTTGATCCAGCTGCAAAATATGATCAACCTTTGTACTGAACTCCATAAAACATTCTACCATTTGATTTCTTCTGCTTTGCATAATCTGTAAATTGGCTTCCTCACTCCTCTTTAACCCATTGATGATATCCTTAATTTCGGATGTCATTTGGTCAGTGGACATAGATATGTCTTGGGACGCTTCTGCCAGTAGCTGAAGAATATTTTCCTCAGTTGCTCTTTGATTTGATTGATAATCGTGCTGACATTGAGCATTAACAGCTGCTCTTGATGGTCCAGGGGTTGCTGTGTACAAAGAAAAAGAAAGCTTTCATGAGGTCTTCAACTATTAAACATTTTGTTTTTAAATAACAGAGAGTCATTGTTAAAATAACTCCGCAGGAGTTAGCAATGAAAGACCACTAGCTAGCACCCTACCATCTTATTAAGGCTGCACCCCAAAAGTATTCTGCCCAGTCTCAAGGCATCCGGTCCCTTACTTGCCTGTACCTGGTACCCCTCCGCCAGGAAAAACACCGGCTGGGTAATGTGTGTGGTGTGCAATAATCTCTTTTTTAGGTGCAGAGCATAGAAGTTGAATATTCTATGTGCTTGAGGTTAACAATTTTTTCATGCAAAGGCACGAGCAGGCTGCACCCATCCATAATGACTGGAGAAGCCCTCTTTCCTGGGGAGACCATCCAAAACCATTTAAAATTGTTTGCTTGGGCAGCCCTGACCTTCATCTGAAAAGCAACACCAGGGAAGTCTGAATTCACAGCCCTGCATTCAAAAGAGATGTAAATTAGTGGGACAAAACCCAAGGAATATGTAAGAGGTGGGGTGGATGCTGTATGGTTTGGTAGTGTTCAAGCAGACAACAGGCAGTTTCTCACAATAGACAAGACGAGCATAGACTACCTTTTCTTGGGGGAGGGGGTGTTTCACACATCAAATGTGAAATGCTCTAAGTTTAGGAAATATTAGGCATAATAGGTAACATTTCAGCTCTTTTAAACCAAAACTGGAAAGATACAGTTGCAGGAAGCACATGATGCTTTGTGTAGCTATTGACATGTAAATGACACAAGTGGTTTCCTAGTACATTAGGACAGACTAACTTGCAGGCTTTGAGCAACAGGGAACACAACAGACCAAAATCTTTGCGTTTCCTCCTTGCTAAAGACAATGTCTTCCAAAAAGCTTGATGGATTAAGCAGAAAGCAGAGGTTAATCTTGAAAGTTGTCAAACATTCACATTGCAAACATATGGTCCTACTGATGGGCTTTACCAGCTTGATGCACCAGTGGTCTTGTCTTTTAAAAGTCCTCCTGAACAGCCAACTTTGGATGTTTGCCTTCAAGAAAATGCTCTTAATTGAACTGTGGAAGCTGCTCTCACGTTGCAACAAACAAGAAGCTTGGTGTCCAAAGACACTAGTGGCTTTCTGGACATACAGTAAGGGCAAACCTCGTCAGGTATGGGCACACAAAAGCAGCTCGGACTGGTGGGAAAGAATAGTCATGTCAACATGGAATGATGAACAGTGGCTGGAAACGCTAAGAATGAGCAAAAAAATGTTCTTCCGCATGGTTAGTTTGCTGAAACCATCCATCCAGCATCAGAGAACTGTCGTTTGGAATCCGATCAGCCCAGATAAGTGTGTTGCCATGGCTGTGAATAAATTGGTTACTCCAACAAGCCTGCACCATGTTGCGAATCAGTTCAACATGGCTCCCTGCACTGCTGGGAGGGTGATCAGCAAGGTGGGCTACCGGCTTCAGGAGCTGGCAGCAAACAAATTGATATGTTTAAGTAACCCCTGGGAGGTGGTGGAAGGATACCAGACAATGGGCTTCCTGAACTGCGTGGGAGAGTACCTGACAGCATGCATATTCCTGTCCTAAACCAGTCCCAGGACAACTGTTCATTCATAAACAGAAAGGGGTTTCTTTCTGCCATTCTGCAAACTGTTGTGGATCACCGAGGCAGATTTACAAACATTCACGTGGGATGGGCAGGAAGCACCCACAATGCATGTGTGTTTCACAACTCCCCGCTGCCTGGGTTGATGGACAAGGGTCAATATGTCCCAGGACTGGAGGAGGTTGTCATCTGGGGTGTTTTAGTGCACCCCTGATACTTGCTGACATGGCTTAGTCACTTCTGCCCTGGCTTAGGAAGTCCTACAGCGGGCAAGTGAGTGACCCACAGAAATTCCTGTTCATCAAGCAGCTAAGCAAGTGCCACATGAGCGTAGTGTGCATGTGAGTGGTTGAAAGCCCATTGGAGATCACTCAACTACAGGCTAGAGGTTGATGCTGATCACAACAGCCTTTTCATAGTGGCAACGTGCGCTGCATAATATCTGTGAGACTAGGGGTGAGGTTTTGAAAACAACATCTAATTCCACCCAGAGAGTCTGCTAGGGTCCTACAGGGAGCAGGCCGGGAGGGAGGGGGTTAGACATACAGGCAAACAGCGGCGGGGGAGCTGTCATTAGAAATTGCCTGGCAGCACGCATCACAGCTGCTCAGGAGGAGGAATGTGCTCTGTAATTGTGTGAACTGATCATTGTTATATTTCGTCTTGCATTTCCTATGACTTTGTCATTGAATAAAGTCTTACTGAGATGCATTTTTATTTGATACTCTGTTCATAACAGGCTCTCGGGGAGGTCTCTGTGTGGCACGTGAGCAGGACATGCTCTATGCATGATGTCAGGTAGGAGGCAAGGTGCCCTCTAAGCTGCGCACGGTACAAAATGTTGCCGCGCAGTAACTGGAATGCCGCGCACGGGCGCCGGCGTCGGACGCTTGCTGCTTGGCTGCGCGGAGGCTGCTCCGCTCCACCCTGCTCCTCACCGGCATTCCCGCGGGGAGGGAGAGCGCAGCCCGCAGCCCGCGAGGGGCTGGGTCGCTGATCGTCAGCGCCCCCGTCCCTTCCTGCGCCATGCCTGCAGCGCGGAGCAGGCAGCGGCTCCTCTCCGAGGCGAGGCAAGGCAGGGGCGGAGACCAAGCCGGGCACCAGGTTACTGCTCCGCTCCGCAGCCCCTTGAGGCAGGCTTCACCCTAATCTTAGCTTTCATCCCCGTGCCGCAAGCCCCACAGCGCCCGCATCAAAGCCCGGCAGCCCCGCGGGTCTTCCGCGCTCGCCTGCTCCCCGCCTCCCTGCAGCCGTTGAAGGCGATGCCCTGTGCCTCGCTGCCTGACCTGCCCAGCGGCCGGGCGCTCACACCGCGTCCGAAGGCGCAGCCTGCATGTGGGTCCAAGAGACAAAGGTACTGGAGACAAAATCAGCTCTTTGGTAACTGAAGACAGAGAACTCAAATGCTTGCCCATATTTAAGTATTAATTAAGTCTTAATCCTGGCCATAGCGACATGATTACAAGGTAGCATATGGGTATTACAGCTAATTTCTTCCGTTCTTTACAACAATGCAAATTAAAAGCAGAATTGGGCCTCTAAAGAAAAACATCTAATAAGATGATAAATAGACTGAGACAATATTAAGAACGCATCTGGTACACAGTGTAATATTCAATATGAAAGGAGGAAGCAGCACCACTTCGGGAATGGACTGATCGCTACACCTTAGAGGGAACATTGGTAGGAGGTGCAGTGTTTGGGGGGCATGGGTTGTTTTTGGGGTGCATGTGAATTGAGAAGAAAGGCAGAAAGAAAACCTGTGGGGGGATATGACTGTCATATGATGATCTGCCAATGCAGCAGTTAAAAGATTGAAATTCAATTCTTATCAAAGTTATAAGGAAATTCCTGTTTCTTTCTTCACTTCAACCACAGCATCCCCCTGCTGTGCGGTGGTAGAGGCGGGGGTATTAATTCATGCTGGCCGTGCGTGCTGATCGCAGGAGGAGGGGGAACTGGAGTAGGCTGATTGCGGCCTCCCCTAACACCATTTTGGGGGCAGCTATGATAGGCTAGGCACGGAGATGCCCAGTACCCAAGGAATCTTAATCAACCTGGATAACAACCCCAGCCCACCCCCATGCTGGTTCTTAGGGTTGGAAAAAGGCATGCTTTTTGATGCAAGGATACAAACAACAGGAGACACAAGATTCTTTCTGTTTTACATAAAAAGGCCTCTACTAATGTTTCCATTGAGGATCGAGCCAAACCATGAGTGAGTTACATTTTTATTAGTCCAAGCATTTACAGTTCCTTTTTTATATAAACTACTTTGATGTAGAAATACATGCAGTTCCTGAATTGGGTATTTTCTTCCATAGGCACATTGGCAAGTTGCAATGTTTTCTAATGGTTACAACCACCACCACATGCTGACAATAAGCAGGGCAGCCAGACCAGTTTTGTTCTAGAGTGCCATGTGCATAACTGTAAAGCTTATAGTTAGTCAAAACTAACATGGATTACTTACAAAACTTTATCAAGAGCAACAAAGTTTATCTCACATGGCCAGTGTGTGAGTGAGACAAGGGAAGGAGGGGGCACTTACCTGTCCCCTTCTTCTGTGGGGCAGGGACCCCCCAGCCCCAAGAGTGGCATGGCACCACTGGCGAGCCCTTCTGTGCATGTGTGCAGTTTAACAAGGGCCCACCAAACAGCAAGGCCGTAGTTTACCCCCCAGCTTCGGCGAGGGATGCACGGACAGAAGCCCGTCACGCCCCCATTGAGCCCAGGGACCCCCAGGACCCCCCAGCAGGACACCAACCTGGACCCCCCCAGTGCAGCCAGAGGTAGGTGGGGCCTGTGACGGGGAGGGAGGGACCCAGACTCAGTCAGCTACAGGGCAGCTGAGTGGAGCCAAGGAGGGACACCCCCATCCCCTGCTCCTACTTGGCCCAGCCCCCCAGAGAGCCACGCGACTGGAACCTCACGCACAGGACGTGCAAACAGACACACTTGTAGGCCCGGCATGGGCGTTCACGCAGGAGGGCAAGTGGGAGGGCCTGAGGCCCTGCCAGCGGGCCCCAAAGGAAGGTTGTCACAGCAGTAGCTGGACTACCAGCAGTACAATGTGGATGGCCACATGCCTCACCCCGAGGTTCCCCACAGTATCTGAGACCTCCCCCCAGGTACTTCTGAGGTCTCCACCCAGATGGCCCGTGGTTCCAGGCTCCACGGACCGAGCCCCTGGCTCTCGGCTGCAGGGGCTGCCTGGCACGATTCCTGGCACGTGGGACCGGGAGCATGGCCACCTCCCCTTGCAAGGTCTGCTCCACTTTGGAGTCTCTGGGGCACCAGATAGAGGAGCTCCAGACCGCAGTCCAGAGACTGCATGCCATCAGGGATGGTGAGCAGGTGATAGATTCCTACTGCCAGGCCCTTCACCCCCTGGAGGCCGAGGGTAGACCAAGGTCACCTTCCAGGACAAGGGAGGACTTGAGGATCCCCCACAATGTCCAGCCAAGGGTTTGGACAAAGGTGGTCAATGGCCCCAGGGCCCACTGCACCAGGGTCCCCTCCCCTCTGGAGCTTTGCAACAGGTATGGACCTCCTGCAGCCCCAGTAGAGCCTGCAGAGCTGGCAGCTCCTGCAGGCAAGGGAGGACCACTCACAGCTACTGCCCCTGCTCTCCCTAAGGCCACACGTAGAGTGGCTGTTCTGGGAGACTCCCTCCTGGGTGGGACTGAGGGCATGATCTGCCACCCTGACCCCTTAGCCTGGGAGGTCTGCTGCCTCCTGGGAGCCCGTATCCGGGACATAGTGGAGAGGATCCCAAAGCACATCCGGCCCACTGACCACTACTCTATGCTCCTTATCCATGTGGGCACAAATGACATGGGTCGGAGCAGTCCTGGCCATGTCATGAGAGGCTACAGGGCTCTGGGAGTGGGGCTTAGGGGGTTGGGGGTGCAGGTGGTGTTTTCCTCAATCCTCCTGGTTTCAAGTTATGGGCTAAGGAGGGAGAGGAGGATTGAGGTAGTCCAGCCAAACACCGCAGCACTGGTGTTATCATGGAGGCTTTGGCTTCCACGATCACAGTCCGCTCTTTGGTGAGAGAGGCAGTGGTCTGCTGGGGAGAGACGGCCTCCAAATCACTTCACTGGGGAGATTCAAACTGCGGCTGTTAAAAGCCACGGTCTGTCACATCCCCCAGGAGTTGGGGCTTATAGGAGGAGCAGAGAGGAGCAAACTGGGCACATGTGGGTTACCACACACACTTGTGCCCCCTAAATCTTACCGCCTGCAACAGAGGCAGCAGAGGCAGTGGTGGGGGCACCAGCAGCTGATCCCCCACAGGTAAGTGGGGTAGAGGAACCAGGCAGGGGAGGAGGATCCGGAGGGGGAGCCCCCCAGATCCTTTTTGACTGATCCAGCAGGGAGCCGCGTTCCCGAGCCATGCACACACACAAACAGAGTGCACAAACAGGCGTGCTTTGTAAGGGGCGCCGGTGTTTGCACTGATGTTCATGCTGGCGGGCAAGCAGGTGGGCAAGCAGGAGGGCCGGGAGGAAAGCTTCAGCAAGGGAAGGAAGGAGGCACCACAAACTACAGTAATGGCAAGGACATGGAGTGCTGCTAGGGACCTTGCCTGGAGGGCGCCACCTACCCAGGGCTCCTCTGAGGCCACCACCCAGACAGAGCCCAGGGTGGGGATGGCAACACCCTGCTCCTCTGCTTGTGGGGGATGCCCTGTGGGCCAGGGGGGCAGGGAGCGGGGGTCTCCCCACCTGACCCACATGTGCCCTTCTTTGGGCCTTGGAGGGGCAAATGAGGGAGCTCCAGGCAGAGGTTAGCAGGCTGAGGGGGATCAGGAAGGCAGAGGATGAAATTGACAGGTATTTCCATTTTCTGCAGGGCCGAGCACCAGATGGAGAAGCACCCCGGGAGGTGCCCTCCACAGCCGAATGGCAGAAGGTTCCCTCCAGAGCCAGGGCTGCTCACGGTGGCGCAGTATCAGCTCCCCCAGTCCAGCTGGGGAACAGGTATGAGGCCCTGGCAACACTGGAGGAGGAAGAAGTGGGGAAGAAACGCTGGGAGAGGAGGCCACTCCATGCACAGCACAGACTGGAGGAGGCCAGAACACCCAGAGGAAGAAGAGATGCTGGGTGCTTGTTGTGGTGGGAGAAACCTCCCTAAGGTTCGTTGTCTAGCTGTAATTTGATTGACAGACGACGCGGGTAAAGAAAGACAGCTGTTTATTTGCTCGAGCAAAGACCGTAAAGCCAGCAAAAGGCAAAATGGCCCCCCCCGAAGGGTGAGGTGATCTTTTATACTTATTACAACAAGGCAAGACTTCATGGTTAACAAAAAAAGCAATACTTGGGCGGTGCTTTTCAAATCTTTGTAACAGCATATTTTTATTAAGCTGAACTAGCACTTTTAAAAGCTAAAAGTTAAGTAACAGTAACATTATAATATGTTAGCAAAACCTTACACAGTAGTAGATACTTCTCAAGGACACAACCACTGCACCCAGAACAATGGTTTCCCTGTTTTATCTTATTTCTTGCTGTAGCTGATTTTTCAGCACACAGAAACAGAGATACTTGCTGCTTTTAACTCAGAAAATGCTTAATACAGTTAAAATGGTTACTTGACACAAGCAAAGGCTTAGCTATCAATCTGCCTTGTGGTCAGCTGCATTGCTAGGCCACAGGTCATGCCTTGTATTCAGCTGTAAAGCTAATACTTC